CAGCACTGCGCCAAGTGAGAGCAAACCTTCCCGAACGCCCTTTCGCCGACCGTCACATACCTGGAGAAACAGGTTACGCCGATGATGTGACATTGTACTCAACCAGTGAGGAGTGGCTGAAGCGAAGCCTCCCCATCATTAGCGCAGAACTCGGGGATTGGTCCCTTACAGTAAACGAGACCAAGACCAAATTCTTGCATCTGACATCAACTTCAGACTCCTGGCGGTCCAGCAGGCAGCTAGGGTCCCTCATTGGCGACAGTGAGGACCTGGAGCGGAGGAAAGACCTCCCTTCGAGTGCATACGGCAGGATGTATAGCCTCTGGCTGAGGCGTGGGAAGGTCAGTGAGCAGAGGCGCATCCGCCTGTATAATGCCCTGGTTCTGCCCGTTCTTTTGTATAACTGCGGCGCATGGGGGCTCACGGCAGCACAAGCAGAATCGCTTAACGTTTTCCACCGGAAGCAGCTCCGACGGCTCATTGGCATAGTCTACCCAGCCAGGATATCAAATACTGAGCTGTATGAGAGGTGCAACACGGAACCACTATCTGACATCGTGGACAGGAGAAGATGGCAGCTAACCGGCCATATTCTCCGTATGGACAGGGATGCGCCGCCATGGATCGCGCTGACGGGCTATTTTGCGGGAGATGCCAAGGCTGGGCGTGGACGTCCAAGGACATCCATAGCGACGCGCATCACAAGCGACTTACAGAGGAGGAACATCGACTTGAAGCGCAGCAGTCAGCTGGGGAATGTGAGGGCCATCGCTCTGGACAAGCCTACATGGAGAAATCTGGCCGACAATCCATGATCTGGCGTCACAGGTCATCAGTGCGCCGTGTTAATAATTACCTTGATAATGGAATTTGATCATAGGAGATAGGACAGAAGCGGAACGTATAATTATACCCACATAATTATTACGCGTGCTGTGGTATTATTATTATTATTAATTACTATATAGGTAATAGGGAGAGTGGTGACCAAGAGAGGACAGTATAGACCGTTAGTACGGGGTGCTTCAATGCACATCCCCAAACCGAGAGGTGCGATCTGGAAAGAACAGTGAGACGATCAACATGATGGGCTTCAAAGCACGTCCCAAGACCATGGCTAGTCTGAGATGTGTTTGTCGACACCTTTTTTAAAAGCTGTGAGTGGAGAGTGATTGGCCAGACGGGGAAAGACGTCCTCGGGGAGGCTGTTCCACAATTCAAGGAAACAGTACGGGAAGGAACGTCGAAGGTAGTCGGGACTGGTGCCGGGGGTGGTGTTTAAGAGCTGTGCCCGGTGCTGGCGCTGAACATAATGCTGCTGGCGGGTTCGAACAGTATCGGCCCGTGGTTTTGGGGGAGGGCGCATGCGTGTCAGACGGGGTGGGCCCTTGCAGTTAACTACCTTGTAGAGATAGGACAGCCCTGCGACCGTCCGTCTGGCGCGCAGACTCTGGAGGACGGTGGTGGGTCCTATCATCTGCATGGCCTTGCGCTGTGCTGTGTCCAACTTCCCAAGGTGGGTCTGGCCAGCACCAAGCCAGGCTAGTGGGGCATACTCAAGTATGGGCCTTACAAAGCCCTTATAGACGGTTAGGCGTCCAGCAGCGTCCAGGATGGGTGCTGCCTTCCGCATGAAATGGAGGCGTTGATGTGCGCGCACAGAAAGCTGGTGGAGGTGGGCGCTGAAGTTGAGCTTCTCGTCGAACACCACCCCAAGGAGCTTCAACTGGCTGCTGACAGGAACAGGGGTGCCAAGGAATTGGACAGGGGGGAAGTCTGGAGGGGCCAGCTTCCTGGTCACGGACATCAGCTGTGACTTAGAGGGCTCAAAGGTAACCCTCCAAGTACTTCCCCAGGCTTCCAGCTGGTTCACGGCTGTCTGAAGTGCAGCTGCGGCGGCCTCTGTGGTCTGTCCAGGCATGACAGACGTGTATAACGTAGTATCATCAGCATACACGGCAATGGAGACGCTGGCAGGTAGCTGATCTTCGGCGTCGTTTATGTATACTAGAAACAATGTGGGCTCTAGGATGCTGCCCTGAGGGACGCCTGACCGGATGGTAGAGGGGTAGAGGTCTGTCCCCCAACAACAGCTTGCAGCTTCCGGTTCTGGAGGTACGATGTTAACCAGGCCAGCAGTTGCCCACCAATGCCATAGCCTCGAAGCTTGCAAGAGGAGCCCAGGGTGTGAAACCCGGTCAAACGCGCCTGCTATGTCTATGGCGAGGGCCTGAATGGTTCCGCCCTTGCTGGTGGTTAAAGCCCATTCATGCTGGAGCGACGTTAGTAGGTCAGCTGTGCCGATTGATTTCCGAAAGCCAAACTGGTTGGCAGACAGGAGGGTATTGCTGTTGAGATGGCTGATGAGCTGCTGGTTGACTATTCTTTCCATCACCTTGGATACTATACAGAGCAAGGAGACTGGTCGATAATTACGGACATCGCCCTTGGCCTTGCGCTTGTGGATGGGAACCATATTGGCTACATAGTGCTCCACATTATTGTGTTGAGCCCTCTCCGCTGGCAGAAGGAAATTTTCCTCCTGTTGCAATTAGTCATGTAGATACTCTCTCATGACAGAGATGTCAGTAGCTAGACTAGAGTGTAGAGAGATGATCAGTGAGCTGCTGCAAGTAGCTCATGCACGCCTTGTACATGGGCACGTCGACGGTGGTGACGTCGTCTGCAGACTGCCGAACCCTATTGTGTGCTCGTGATTGCACAAGATGGGAGAGCTCTGACGGATAGGTTTAAAAGTTAATTAAAGAGGGCGGGACCGAGTGTTGACCCTTAGGATGTTACATGTGATAATGAGATAGCCAATCATAGCGGAGGACGTATATTACACATTGTCATGTCATTGTCCTGTCTACAGCCTTACAGGCAGTGCATAAACGGGAAAATATTGACCCAAACTGCACTGGCAGCTCGGTATAACCCGACCACTTCACGCAACTACTGAAGTACTGTCTTTAGCATGTAGCATTTAAAACGTCTCACAGTTTGAGTGGGTACACGTGACAAGTAGATCTACATGCTCAGCACGCGCACGGCGGCTGGAGCAGTCCAAGTCCAACTACATGACGATGATTGTTCCAATGTGCAACAACTGACCAGACTCATGAGTGAGGTCCATATGCAGTGCTGGTACTTTTTACATGCTGCCATGCCAACCAAGAACATGTTTTCAACAAAACAAGCGTTATCTAATACCATAACTTTTTAAATGACTGGACATGTACAACGTAGATATACCAGATGAACGTTCTACATGTACTTTTAGAAAACAAGCTAGTACCTAACTCTCCTCATCCATGCGCTCTAAAGCCGACCATTGCAATGTCAATTACACTATCAGTATCACCTTCTCTGACGAGCGTTTGATAGGCGAAACAGCTGTCAGAAGGAAATGTTTTACCCGTGACCCCTTCGTTGTTTGAAGTTATTGGTGTGAGTAATGGCTACCGAGGGTAGCAATGGTCGGCTTTAAGTTTAGAGCGCATGGAGGAGGAGAGTTAACGAAGTAGTGGTTGCGACTTCGCCCGTACGCGACATGAAGTAATCTCAAGTCAAGTCAAGTCTTGACAGATGCAGAACGTTTGGCTCTCAGCGCAAAGTGCTTTCTAATTTGCATTGCCATTATCAATTAATTACATGTACATTTATGGCAACTAGCACTAGTGAGTAGTGGCTAGTAGTAGTAGTGCTCAAGTAACTACATGTAGTTCGACAGATCTCATACAGTGTACCAGAAATGGAAGGCAAGAATGTTCGCTTCACGTTTCCGGTGTGGATCTTCATCATACGATGTACAATGTAGATCTACACGTCATGTACATAAATCATAATGGCTGCATTCTTTCATCATGATCGGTGCCACCTGTGGCCCGGTGTGGGACTATCTTTGCACATGGCCATATGGCTGTGTCTCACTCACACTCGCAGTATGACATGCCTCTCTTTTCCGCTGTTCTCCTTTTTCCATGCCGGGTGCATCATGTGCATAAGCAGTGGATCTACTACTACATGATTGTAGTGTTGCTATTACTAGTATTAGTATTAGTAACGTTATTACTTCAAACGAAGTACAGCTCCATGATCTGAACTCATTCCGAAGCCTGTGATAGGTCCACCGTCAGTGTAGCACCTGTAACGGTGGTTTTTGGCGTTATGGATGAGCTTCGCCTGTCTCCCGAGTCCTTTCAGGAGCTGCTAGGAAAGATCACTCCTCTCATCATGCAGTGTGTTCGAGATATCGACGAGGGACCGACGTCCTTTGTTCAGTCACTTGAGAACAGTGCAGACTCGGTGGAGCAGGCCAAACAGCTAGCTGCAGCGTGAGTTCAGTTACATGTGCGTGTGAACGACGTTGCATACCAGTATATTTATGGCAGGAGAGTAACCGCGATCTAATAATAATAATAATTATTATTATTATACATGAATGACTATGTACATACCAAACCTGTACACTGTACTTGATCTTTGACTCCTGTGCATGTGGCGCTTGTGGCTCAGGGTCGGGATCACTTTCACAGCACATACCCGCTACACACATGTCCCGTGCACTGCAGGCTGCGCTGCTGCTGCTTTATCCATAGATCTACGCGGTAAAGCCGCTACTGGGCCAGTAATAGTACTAGTAGGCTAGTTCGAGTAGCTTCTAAAACTTACTCTTATTATGGGTCTCTGCTCTGGCGCTAGAGCGATGAGCTATCGCCTGTGCGAAGTGTGGGCGCTCTTGCGATAGGCTAGCCTAGGCTAGGGGAGAGCTCTGCATGCATGGTGCTTGTGCAATGACAGTACAGGTACAGCCTACTACAGGTACTAGTACAGTCATGTACTTCGACTAATAGTACTAGTACTTAGTAGTCCGGCTGACTTAAAGTTAAAACGCTTTAAAACCACAGGAAATTTTCAAAATTCTGCATTTTGTTTTAAAACTAGCTGGCTACAGCATTGGGTATACTGGCGCAAATAATAAGGGGATGAACAAAATTTTCATCGTTTTATTGCACATTGTCTCCACAGTTTTACAATACATGAATACAGTGTACACAAATGTCGATCCAGCTTGTATTACCTACTGATTGCGGTTATCAAATTGTTGTCTCCTCGCCGTTTTAGGAAACTAGAGGCCACATGCCACGTACTGCTCTTTTCTCTCCGAAACTCAACACTTGCAAGCCAGATATGAAAGAAAGAAAAAATCATCAGTCACACCACCGGGTCCCCGGGTCCTGGTGGTGTGACTGATGATTTTTTCTTTCTTTCATATCTGGCTTGCAAGTGTTGAGTTTCGGAGAGAAAAGAGCAGTACGTGGCATGTGGTCTCTAGTTTCCTAAAACTTTGAAATTCTCCGTGAAGTCCAAATTTGAAATTGCAATTTGTATTTCCTCGCCGTTTGTTCAAACAAAATAATTAATGTTTTTACTCCGAGTTTCACGCACTTATCAGAGAACAATGACCAGTAATGAGTAACGCTGGATACTGGTTTATGGACCCACAAAGCCAAAGTGTAAAATGAGTCTAAATGACAGTTGTGAAAGATTGCATCGCGGCATGACTTTGAAAGTGAAAGGTGTGAATGACAGCAGTGGTGAAAATTCTACATTTACTTCAAGTGACACGCACTGGAGCCGGTTGTCTGGTACTTGTTTAGGTGATGCATGTGGATGGTTTGAAGTTCCGAAGGTAGTACTTATTCTCGTGGTGACACTTTGACACAAGTTCACTCCTCTTGTTAACTAATTACTTAATTAAGAGAGAGAGATGCTTGGGTGTTTGCGCGATTGCCAAAATGTCCGCCAGGCAAAAGTCGCACCTTTTGCTTTTGTTGTTGTAGGTCACAGCTTTGCAGTGGACTGCCCATTGAATGCTACATGCTTTCCCTTCATCCTTCTTTGTCCAGACGTACTGCGATAGGCGGGTGTCCTTCCCGTGTTGTCTGTGGCGGAATGATGATTGGTCGTTATGCTAGCGTTTTTTGAATGTTGTTGCTGTTAATCCAGCATATTCATTCTTCTTCGGACCTGTGGTGACTCTTGCCTTATACACGACGCTCTTCATTAGACACGCTCCGTTTTCTGGTACACGTGAATGAACCAGGAAATTGCAGCCACCATTTCGGTGCTCCGCAGGAGGTGCATTTCTCCTCCAAGCATGATCCGCCCACCCCTGCCCCAGGCTACTGGACACTTTTTTAAATAGGTGTTTTGTTGTGTTGGCAGCTATCCAGGGCAACGACCAGTAACTACCCATTGGCGGATATTGCTCCAAAAATTCCACTGTGTGGAGATACTGGCAGTTGCGCTCTGGAGATGCTGGCACGTCATAGCGTGTCAGTCTATGCGGTTGTCTTTGTAGGACAACAAAGACGGGTTGCGTACTATATAAATGATCCTAGTGAGTACGATCTTTCTGTTTGCTTCTCTGTGATGTCATTCTGGATTATGTGTGCGCAGAATGAAAGAGGAGAGGGTCCCAGAAACGGGGAAAGCGATTGCCGACATACTGGATTCGCTCTGCAATGTTGCCGCTCGTGGAGGAGTCAACAGCGGCAGTGCAGGCTTCTGCGCATACGTTCCCATCGGTGGTTTGCTTCACGCTGTGATCCTGGAGATGGTCAGTCTCATCCTGAATCGGGTGACACCGCTCTTCCTGCTGAGCCCCGGCATGGTGCAGATCGAGTCGAACGTCATCGCGTGGATGGCTAGTGTTGTCGGGTACGACCCCGTCACGTCGTTTGGATCCTTCACGTCAGGTGGCTCCATGGCCAACTTTATAGGAATTCTGGCGGCGCGTCGTAAGTACCTTCGAGAGGAACAGATCTCCCAGGGCGCTGTCATGGCAACTAGTCAAACACACAGCTGCATCGGCAAGGGTCTGATCATGGCCGGCATACCTCGGTCATCACTCTGTCTCGTCGAGTGTGATGAAAAGCTCAGGATGTGTCCAGCGGCGTTAGAGAAGTGCATCAAGGCGCAACGAAGTTCCGGTCACAAGCCGTTCCTGGTGGTAGCAAGCGGAGGCACGACGAACACGGGAGCCGTCGATGATCTGCGCGCCATATCGGCAATCTGTCGTTGCCATGATGTGTGGCTGCATGTTGACGGTGTGTACGGTGCAGCATTTAACCTGACGCAACGCGGTCGTGAGCTACTGGATGGCCTGGAAGAGGCCGACTCCATTGCCATAGACCTTCACAAGTCATTCTTTCTGCCAACAGTAACAGGGTTATTGCTGGTCAGGGAGAGATTCTACCTGAAGAACGCGTTCACCCATGATGTCCACGCGCCGTTCCTCCCGCATGTGGCGGCAGAGGAAGACAATTTCATGGATATGTCTCCCGATTTGACGCGGCCCTGCTATGGGCTGCGCCTCTGGTTTCCGTTAAAGCTGTGCGGGATCGGGAAGTGGCGTACGGCTCTGGACGATAGGCTTGACTGGACGGCCGAGTTTACCGACGGGTTGCGCAAGATGTCCGGCATCGGAGTTGATCTGACGACAGAGCCCAGCCTGACAATTCTTACGTTCCGCTACACACCACCGGTCGGTTCTGCAGCAACGGGTGACCGTGGCGCTACGCAGCCAGACCGGCAAAGTGAGGAGCATCTCGCGTATCTGCGCCAGGTCAACGAACGTCTCCTGGTGTTCATCAACCGCCGCGGCAACATCTTTCTGTCGGCCACTACACTGCCCGGGAGCAGGTACGTGATTCGTGTCTGCGTACTCAATATACGCTTGACACGGGAACGTCTGATGAAAGGCCTCACCGACATCTCCGACGGAGCAAAGCACATCGCAGAGCAGCTGTAGAGGTTATTGGAGAATCTCCTTAATTAATACGCTGGTTTTCAACCTCTATTTAAAAAAAAAAAACACTCAGTCCTATGCTGTAAGATATTCATTGGTACAATGAAGATGTGTGATGAGTGTTGCACCATTCAGTGCAAAGCTCAAACCTTTCTCCATTGTTCTCTCCTCGATTTCTTCACTCAGCTTTTTATTGTCTTCATCGATAGACACTGTACATACATGTACATTGCGATGAGGTTAAAACATGTATTGACCTTAAGAAGAGGTTGTAGCGTGCAGCAACACATGTATTCACCTATTTATTTAGTTTATTTACCGGTTTTACTTTTAAATCTGACAAAACATTGGCATCCCACTCATTGGATGTTGCCTTACTTGAGCTTTCCAAGTTAGAAGGCTGTTGGCTTTTTCCCGGCACATAGATGTGTTGTAGGCGTAGGGTTGCTGAATGTTGTTGTTGTTGTTGTTGTTGTTGTATACTTTATTATTAAAGTCGGAATCAAAACAGGCAAAAGCCTAATGACTCAGTATCCTCCACCAGCTTTTGTTCCGTGTCGCTACTCCGATTGTACAGATAAAACGATAATATCATTATTATGTTCTGTTTACGTCGGTGGATAGTTAGGAGGGAGCAGTCTAGGATTGGTCCGGCCATGCCATACCCTGTTCTTTCAACGGTTGTGCATGCTATACTATACTAGGTACTCATGACTAGCCTTTCACAAACCTGCCAGCCGAAAAATTCGCCGAAAACGAGGCTTATCGAAAAATCGTTACGCTTGTCGCCGAATTTAGAGGGCTCCTTTGAGAATCGCCGAAAATCTACAAAATTTTGTTGCAAAGTGCGTTTACGAACGAATGATGTTGCTGCAAGCATGACCGCTCGAGCTCTCTGCTTCCGTACTTGTAATACTAGTGAGTTGAAGTGTCCTTTGACCTCCTCTCAAACACACATTAGCCATTAGGAAGATTGCTAGTAGTAAAATACTAGAATTATATTCCCAATTTCTCAGCGAATAAAAAGTTCTTTACAAATGAGTTACATATCCAAGTGACTTGAAATTTTTGAAATAATTTATTTTTGTGTACAAAATACTAGTATATTGGTCCTTTTCATAGGTTATATATTATATATTTTGGGGATAGTCTCTCGATGCATGAGAGAGAGAGAGTTGCTCCTGGCTCAATTATACAGGTCAACTCGCTGCGTCAACTGAACAATGGCTAGACATGTGCTGCGATGTGCTTCACTCCGTCGGAGATATCGGCGAGACCTTTCATCAGCCGCCCGTGCGTGAGGCGTATGTTGAGAACGCACACGCGGATCACGTAGCGGCCGTCTGGAAGAGTCGTCCCTGACAGGTAGATGGTGCCACGGCAGTTGATGAACACGAGGAGCTTTTCGTTCTCCGTGCGCAGATACGCGAGACGCTCCGTACTCGCCTGCGGCGCTGGTTGCACAACGCTACTGCTGCCCGCTGTTTGTGACTGGACAGCTGGTGGTGCATAGCGGAACGTAAGAATTGTCAGGCTGGGCTCTGTCGTCAGCTCAACTCCGATGCCGGACATCTTGCGCAACCCGTCGGCAAACTCGGCCGTCCAGTCAAGCCTCTCATACAGAGCCGCACGCCACTTCCTGATCCCGCATAGCTTTAACGGAAACCAGAGGCGCAGCCCATAGAGCGGTCGCGTCAAATCGGGAGACAGATCCAGGAAATTGTCCTCCTCGGCCGCTAACTCTGGCAGGAATGGCGCCTGGACATCATGAGTGAACGCATTCTTCAGGTAGAATCTGTCTTTGACCATCAGCAATCCTGTAGCCTGCGGCAGGAAGAATGACTTGTGAAGGTCAATGGCAATGGAGTCGGCCTCTTCCAGCCCATCCAGTTGCTCACGGCCGAATTGTGTCAGGTTGAACGCAGCGCCATACACACCGTCGACATGCAGCCACACGTCGTGGCGCCGACAGATTGCGGACACGGCACGCAGATCGTCTACAGCTCCCGTGTTCGTCGTGCCAGCGCTTGCCACCACCAGGAACGGCTTGCGACCGGAAGTTCGTTGCGCCACGATGCACTTCTCTAGCGCCGCCGGACACATCCTGAGCTTTTCATCACACTCGACGAGACAGAGTGATGACCGAGGTATACCGGCCATGATCAGACCCTTGCCGATGCAGCTGTGCGTTTGACTCGTCGCCATGACAGCACCCTGGGAGATCTGCTCCTCGGGAAGGTACTTGCGCCGCGCCGCCAGAATGCCGACAAAGTTAGCCATGCTGCCACCGGATGTGAACGAGCCGAACGATTTGGCTGGGTCGTAACCGACGACACTAGCCATCCACGCGATGACGTTCGAGTCGATCTGCGTCATACCGGGGCTGGACAGGAAGCGGGGCGTGGCCCGGTTCAGGATGGCGCTGACGAGGTCGATGACGGCCGATTGCAGAAGACCACCGGTGGGAACGTACGCGCAGAAGCCGGCGCTCGCGTTGTTCTTTCCTCCGCGCGCGGCCACGTCGCAGAGCACGTGGAGTATGTCGGCGACGTCTTCCCCCGTTTCCGGAACACTTTCCTCCTTGACCCTGCATAAAGACAGGGAACAACATGAGAATCATAAAATGCGTACAGTTGACTAGCTGCAGAAATTAGATAATAATCACGTCATAAAGTCCATATTAGTGATGCCCTTGAAATGATCGTGTAAATGCGTGCCCTTTCAAAGTCAAGTTTTACAGTCCCGTCTGTGATACATTGGGCTCTTTCGATTACACATGCTGGACCCAGGTAATTATTTTTCGAATCGGAACAGAATGAAGGGATTGCGGCCATGTAAACGAACGACTACACGTAAAAATCGTAAAAGGGGATCACGTGGGATCCCGTACACCCTCGCGCAAACGTGAACCTATAGCGTGGCGTGTGCGTCAATTCTGGCGGGAGAATTAGCAATTCCGCCCTCTCTTCAGAATCGGGGGGACGATTCTGACGACGGAATTTGGGTAATCGATCAGTGCATCCGTCATAACTAATTCTAGAATTAACCGAAATGTGTGTAATCGAACGCACCCATTGTTACATTATCTCAGGACCATCGTAAAACAGGAATGATGATTGTTTGCACAACTCCGAGGTTCCCGTCATGCACTCAGGAACTTCTGGATCGCGGTCCAAAACAGATACAGTGCTGTACATTGCTGACTGCAGAATAAAGTGTGTGGACTGGTTGTCTCACTTTGCAGCTAGCTGCTTGGCCAAGTCCACGGAGTCGGCGCTGTCCTCCAGTGAGCGTATGAAGCAAGTCGGCCCATCGTCGATGTCCCGAATGCACTGCAGCATCAACGGAGTGATTTTTTCCAACAGTTCCTGAAAGGACTCGGGCGATATGCCAAGCTCGTCCATTGCAGGGTCATGGAACAATTTTCCCGTGTGCTACAATCAATATTTTAGACAATAGTCACCTTTCTCTTCGCCGGTACAGGCTACCCAAGGCCCGGACGAAAATAGCAACTATTTATTACGTACCGTCGACGTCGTATCAGGAAATCAGGAAATGCACACCGATTTTACCATTTCCAAATTCCTGGAACCTGGAAAAGAAGTCACGATCACGGCGCTCAGTCTTTGATACGTCATGTCGACCATGGCATACATGACACATGTACATGGTAGACTACAGTCTACATGGCATGATGCATCGATAATAATTATTAATAATTATCACTCCAACCACTGAGCTATGGGACCAGGCTGAACCTAGAAGGCGCTGACAAGTTTTTCACTCCAAAGGCAGCTCACAACACGTGCCACACATACTGATGGCACTTGGGTCTTTTTCCCTCCCCCAGGGGACCAACCACGGTGGGTCTGGCGTTTTTTTCTCTTTTCAAGCAGTTCACTTCCCCAACTGATCCTTTGAATATGAAGTTCTCCCAATCCTTTCCAAATTATCACTCCCTTATTAGTATTGACTCACATAGATTTTTGCCATACCTTAGCAGTCAAATATTCCTGCATATTTCACTCCTTAGGGCTATATTGACTGCTTATATTTGACTGCGTAGGGGTTGCGCAGTTGAACGGTGCCTAGTGCAGCATTGTCACTGCATGAGTAGCCCAGTAGGTGGTGGTGCAACGGTTGTGCAATCATAAAACCGGGATTCATGAGGTTATTGTTCTGGAATTTGAAATAAGGACTGTTTGTCGTGATAAATCTAATATTGACTTCGTACTTGGTCAGTATAGGAAATAAAAGCCGAGTAAAAGACCTCGGCTTCGCCTCGGTCTTTTACTCGGCTTTTATTTCCTTCGCCTCGGTCTTTTACTCGGCTTTTATTTCCTATACTGACCAAGTACGAAGTCAATATTAGATACTTATTATTAATATTTAATAGCCAAAAACACAAATCAAGGCAGGCTACTGCCGCTAGGCAACACTCTTCCTTGTCAGTCTCTGCACAGTCTCAGCCAGTGGCTGTGTGTATGTGTCATTGTGTGTGCATTGAGCATGTTACCATGGTTACAGTCGCTAGTGACTGAAAGGGAAAGAGTATTTTCCCAATAGGAAAATGCTTCTCCGAACCATGAACCATGATGCCCTCGCTGCTCACCTAGTACCTATAAGTCGGTGTTCACCGAAAACTAACTGTGTTTTCACCACCTGTGTTTTCACCACCTGCATTATTGATGCATCCTGACAGTAAGAACAGTTCGAAAAGAATTTGAAATTTCTTCTGAGATCTTTTAAAATTGATGCATTTGGGGATCCAATTTACTCAGACAATTATACGGTATGTACTGATGATCTCTAGTAGCCGAAACAGCTTGCTGTCTACAGCATTGGATCAAGCAATTACATAGTATTACGTATTGAGAAGTGCAGACTCCCATCACAGAGAACCTTCTTGTATCCAGTTATGTAGTTCCGAAGAGGAACATACGGTTCCGGCCGAACTTGACACTTGACTGACTCACGGCTGCCATCCGGCACTACTTGGGCCTACTCAAGCTCAACTGATGATGGGTGAATTCCCCGTAACACTATAATTGAGCACGGAGTAGTGCTTTCTTGCAGGTTTGCCGAGTGGAAGTGGCGACGTGCTCCTCGTGTGCTCCGGATGGCCGTCGTGAGTCAGTCAAGTGTCAAGTTTGGCAGGCAGTGTGTGTACCTCGTTGGAACAACCAACTTCATAACTAATATCGCCGAAGTCGCAACTTCTAAATTCTTCTATTCGTTCATTCAAATGTCTGAACATAAGCAAGAGCTTCTTGCCCGGTCCCGCGGGCAGAGATGCATAAATAATTTGAAAAAGGAAAGGAGAAAATCGAGAAGCAGTATCGACACATTAATTTCTCCAGTTGCATGAAGAAGAGTGAAGACTCGGTCAACAAGGAAAATATAACAAACAACCTCACTTCCCCGCATAGGCATAGTTAGGATCTAAAATACAGTACTGCAGAGAAAAAAAGAAGCTATGTTGCAACTCTTAGTTTCGCGTTATCGGCTTCGTCATCAGGCAACTGGTGGTCCAAAACAGGTGATCTGGACACAAGGGAAAGCGAGGCAAGGAGGGGAGAAACAACAGTGCAAGCTTCAGACGCATGGGATAATCCAATCCATGCTCTAAAACAGATAGCACTCTCACTTACAATTTATTTTGCTGAACTCCGGTGATGTTCGTAGAACCATACTGGACCGGATGGGGTACATCCTGTTGCCGTTTGCTACAACACCGAGCATTACTGTTCATTTGGGAGTTTGGGTGAATTTGAATATCACAGTGCAATCCACCAATCAATCAATAAATAATGAATCATTCATTCATTCAATCACCTGGGTAGACTCCGTGAGCTCAGCAGCCGATGCTGAAGCACGTATCTCAGCAACGCCATCGCGAATGTCCTGCAGTCCGTCGAGTAGCCGCTGTCGCGTGAGACGGACGTGAAGAATGCACGCGCGAAGGACAAACACCTCACCACCGGGCAGGATCGTGCTCGACAAGAAAATGTGATCACGGCCGTTGATGAAGCGGAGGAGTTTCTGATTCGCGTCGCGGAGCCGCTGCGAACGGCACACGCCCGATGAAACTTGACCTGCACTGACATTGCCAGCCATGACTGATGAGCTATCGTCCTCATGTGTGGGTGCGTAGCGAAACGTTAAAATTGTAAGGCTGGGCTCGGTCGTCAGCTCGATGCCAATCCTGGCCATGGCCCGCAGACCGTCCGCAAACTCGCCCGTCCAGTCCAGCCGGTCGTCGAGTGCCGCGCGCCACCTGCCCAGGCCGCACAGCTGTAGCGGAAACCAGAGACGCAGGCCGTAGCACGGACGCGTCAGGTCCGGCGAGTGGTCCAGGAAGTTCCGGTCGTCCTGGTCTACGTCCGGTAGGAAGGCCGGCTGATGATCGAGCGCGAATGCCTGCTTCAGGTAGACTCTCTCTTTGACCATCAGCAGTCCTGTGGCCTGCGGCAGAAAGAACGACTTGTGAAGGTCTATGGCAATGGAGTCGGCCTCTTCCAGGCCATCCAGTTGCTCACGACCGCGTTGCGTCAGGTTAAACGCTGCACCGTACACACCGTCGACATGAAGCCACACGCCATGACGCTTGCACACGCTGGCCAGCGCTCGCAGATCATCGACAGCTCCTGTACTCGTCGTGCCCGCACTGGCCACAACCAGGAACGGCACACGCCCGCCATTTCTCTGCGCCACGATACACTTTTCCAACGCTGCCGGACACATCCTGAGCTTTTCATCACACTCGACGAGACAGAGTGATGACCGAGGTAAGCCGGCCATGATCAGGCCCTTGCCGATGCAGCTGTGCGTTTGACTCGTCGCCATGACAGCGCCCGTGGCTATATTCTCCTCCGGCAGGTGCTTGCGCCGTGCCACGAGAACGCCAATGAAGTTGGCCATTGAGCCGCCGGAGGAGAACGAGCCGAACGCCACGTCCGGATCGTAGCCCACAAGCTGCGCCATCCAGGACAGCGCGTTGAACTCCAGCTGCACCAGGCCCGGGTTAGAGATGAACAGCGGCGTGGAGCGGTTCAGCGCGGCGGCGATCAGGTCGGCCACGGCCGTCTGCAGTAGTCCGCCCGTCGGCACGTACGCACAGAAGGCGGCGCTGCCGCCGTTGCGACCAGTTCTCGCCGCCACGTTGCACAGCGTGTCCATAAGGGAGTCCAGCCGCTGCCCGGTCTCCGGTGCGTGTTCCTCGCGCAGCCTACAGAGTCAGTGACAATGGGATAAGCAGAGGCACATTTCTCAGTTTCTCAGTACACGCAGACTCAACTGTAGCCATCCCAGGGTTCTAGCCAAAGGAGTGCGGGGCAGCGCCACCCTACTCTGATTGACCCCCCCCCCCTTTGTGAAAATGTGGTGCTCCTCTACTCATTTGTTGATTTCTCTGTTTCTTCACGCCATTCAACGAAAATGTAGTCGCAATTACCCCACTACAGTCCATTCAGAAAAGGATGAGCGCTGGCTCTGGAGAGTTTGGTGATTTTGTCAGTGCCGCGAGATTCGAAAATTGAAAAAGGGTCCAAAAAAGATACCTCAACTGGGGTTTGAACCGCAAATGTACTGTTCTGCAAGTGGAGTGCGCGGGTTGAATTTCCATGGCTTTTCCCCAATTCAGTGCTTTGGGGGCAAAACCTGGCCGAAATCCTATTCTTGTTATGGCTTGCTCTTTGGAGAAATAGACTTCAAAAACACAATTGGAAGAGCATTCCATGGGGGATTGCCAAAAAAAGTGACAAAAACTCAAAATTTGACCCATTTATGGCCAAAAGCTAGGATATCATCTTTTTCTGAATGGACTGTAGTCGGTTCATGTTCTGTAGAGGCGTGTGTCTGCCTCAGCACACACCCAAACCACACAAAGGACCAGCTCATGGCTATAGCAAGATAACTCTGCTACAAACTGTGACTCCAAGCCGCACTTGCTCGAAGCCTTCCAAAAAAACTCATAAAGAACTATAGCCAACTGATGACCGCGCTGATACCGTTCAGGTTATAACTTGCATGCGAAGAACTCAATGGCAAGACAGTTTTGGCAAATGGAAAACTGGGTCACGGAGTAACTGTATCCCCTGCCCACCCCTCTTTTTTTTTTTCTTCTTTTTTCCATATACAGTGGAGATTGGATAAAACGACACTCCTTGGGGAGAGAACAAAATGTCACTATTCGATCTGTCACTAAACCCGATCTTCGCAAAGGACTTACTAAACGACTTGGGCAACAGAATTGTGTCGCTAAACTCAATTTGTCGTTATATTCAAGGTCGTGTATATCCGATCTCCACTGTATAAACTTTTTTGTTTTTTTCAAAGTCAACCTTTTTCTTGGACGGCGGATATGGAAGGAAAGCATGCAGACAATAATTGCAAAGGAGGAAAGGAAATAAAAGGCAGGAAGAAAAAATCGGTCCACATACCGGTAAACAATGTTTTCCGTCCCACCCCTCTACTACCGTATTATCCCCAAAATATGTACAGTAACACACACACAGTTACTTTCATTTTTTCAAAAGGTGGTCAGACCTGTACTGCTATAGGAGACTGTACTAGTATTGGAGACCGGTGTACTTTTACTGTTTCTCGAAAGATTGATTGCCTGGGTCGGGTGGCAAACAACTCATGATGATGATACTGTAAGGCTGTAAATGCATCAAACCATGGTAAATCCAGTGTACAAAGACACAAAGACGAAAAATGGGTAAGAAAAACGAAGTAAGGTGCACCCTGGTATCTCTACCCCAGTAGTGCCCATCACATCATTCCGGCATGTACTATTGGTAGAGACGTGTCCATTTATATTTTGATCCACACTCAACATATACTACTGTGACAATTGGAGACGTACTAGTATTGGAGGCGTGTATGTTCAATGGGAAAAATACGGTATCTTGACCTGGCTAGAACCCTGCCGTCCGTTATATCCGTGCATCTTCACAGTACCGTCTCCAAGCGGTCAATTCACATTCGGTCAATTCAGCGCATGCGCCGGGTGTGAATAGCAACGGAATAGTGCAGTTGTCAGTTGACAAAACCCCTTTTCTTTTTCTTTTTCTTCAATTCAGATGATTTTATTTTACTCCTTTTTCAGTGATTGGTGTACGGCACTGAGACTGCTTGGAGAATGTTGTGAAGACTCAGTGTATGGTTAAGCACAGCCTGGCAATGCTAGCATATTTACAAACATGTTATACAGTAAAACCAAGAGTCCATAACCCCCAGAGTGTGCAACGCCACATAAATGTCTGTCACAACTCGTTTTCAACATTACGTCATTTTCATGTAGCTGCGCGTGCAGGCCGCGACATTCGCTACATGAAAATGTGCATGAAAATGACGTAATGTTGAAAACGAGTCGTGACAAGACCCAATCGCGTGTTGCACACTCTGGGGGTTATGGACTCTTGGTAAAACCTGTGACTAAAGACCACCGTGACCGGCTAGCGACCAGCCTGCTACCACAGACCACTTCGCCAGGCACGGACGGTCTCACATTCATGTATGGTTGTGCGGTGCAAACCTCTAAATACGGACCACCTGCCACTAAAGACCTCTTTATCTGGCCCCGAGGGGTGGTCGTTAGTTACAGGTTTTACTGTAAGCTCTCCCGACGCAGTTTTGCTTACGTCAAAGCCCTTACAGTGGACAAGAAATCAGTTGCCTGTCAGGGGTTAAGTGTGCGTGTGACGTGGGGGGGGGGGGGGGGATCCTTAGCGATCAGCCGGACTTAACTTAGCGCCCATCAACTTTGTGGTACCGCGTCCAAATTCTGTGTGTTATTTGAACATAGTTTTCCACTTATTTGTCAGCACTGCTGCAAGTTGCAACACACAGTACTAACAATAGGGGTGTCAAACACGGTACGGTCACTACGGTATTACGAAGGATTAGCGAGACGAAATTCGCGTTCGCTCTCCAAGGAAAGTCGAACTCAGGTACGGAATTCGCGTTATGAGAAGGATTAGCAAACAGAATTCGCACATGCATGACGTTGACACGACGTACATTGTGTACAGACAGTACAGCGTGGTAAATTTATGACTGCTCTGACACGAATCCGCGATTCGTGTTGCGGCTACTTTTCCGAACGAAAAATGCGAAAGTTCGCCATCCAGTTCGCGAACTGAAAACTGTTTGCGAACGCGAACTTCGTCTTGCTAATCCTCCGTATTGACCGTACCACTCTTTGTCCCAGGTACGCCCTGAATCAATAAATGCACTGATCTGGGCTGTAAATTTCCAGAAAATGTTCGCTCAGCAACCCCTCCGCCACGAGTAAATTGTACTTCAGATGGATGACCGTACCACACTAAAATACCTTCCGACTCCCCTGAACAAGTGTGTGTAGCCCATTTGATATTACAGGGATGTAGGAAGGTATTTTGGGGTGGTACGGTCAGCTACCTGACGTGCAATTTACTCGTGGGGTGGGCAGGGCTCCTGTGAGAAATTTAGAAAACTAGAGCCCAAATCAGAGCATTTTATTGATTCACAGGGCACCCATGACAACGAGTGGGACGGACATACCGCGCGCGCCAACACCGTAGGGACTGCAGCGTGTCTGTCGACGACCCTGGATAATGATGGTAAAATCCATGAACAACTATCCAGCTATCTATCGGACACAGCCGCACTGCCTATCTCCGGAATAGGCTATGACCTTTGGGATATCCTGAAATAAAGATTCGTCTAAAAAAGAGAATATTCTTACTTGCTTGCTAATGTCCTGCCGCGGTCGCGTTCCTGCACCTCGCCATCCAGAGAGTCCATGAAGCTCGTCGGGCCAGTGTCACTGCGGCGCACGCACTCTGCAAGCCATGGCGTCACCTCTGCAATCAAGCGCTCAAAGTCCTCAGCAGATATTCGCAGCTCATCCATTGGAAATTCTCTCTCGTCGAGTGATTCTCCTAGCTGCTAAATCCGAGTAATCAATGTTTTATTATAAAAACACGTTAATTTCTGGTCAAAACTTGGCTTAGCAGTGACTTCCGACGGTTGGCTTGGATGCCTTTGTTGGGTGAGGCGAAGAGTGAAGGAGGGCATCTGTTGGCTTCACGCTCATCTTGTTGCTCGACATCGCTGCCGAGAAAGAAGAAAATGGGTTGTACGTAGGCCCAGGATTTGATTATTTAAAATTTATTGTGTTCGTGCCTTGGTTGTTTTTGACTGCAGACTTGCACTGCACTGGTGCCTGGCTGTAGAGTGTAGTGGTGGTACATGGTCTACCTCTGCCTCTGGGGAAACCCCCGTCAACAGTCCAGTTCTGACCAGGGAGTAGTAAAATACGCTGTATTTTTACTACTCCCTGTTTCTTTTTTTTGTGCACGTGCAGCTTTTTGAATCGTGCATGCATGCGCGCACGGGCAGCTTTTTGAATCGTGCATGCATGCATACGCGATGCATGATATCAAGAGTACATAACCCCCGGGGGGTTATGTACTCTTGATGATATGCGTGCAGCGCTTCGATGTGTGACCTTTGGAAGCATAACCTTTCGAATGTGCAGACTTCTTCAAAAACTGCTTCCAAAGATTCCAGATCAGCAGAAGTCATTGATACTATTGATACTAGACATGTTGCACAATAGCACTTTTAGTAGTTCATAGGAAACTCTCAGCAGTCCCGATCTTCAGTTGTTTGGATTAGTTCCAGCGGCGAGCGATCAGTCTGCGAGTTGTTGAAGCTCGAGTCTCTACCCTAAATTTATTTACAATTATTTGCGAACCAATTACAGTCTGGGACTGGTGCTGTGTTGTACGTCGTGGACATTGTCACCGCAAGCTTCCTTAAAATTCCGACCAAAAGCTGGGTAGAGAGGCAGAGAGGTTGGACAGGCCACCATGGCGATCAAGTTCGCGCCCATCTCCATCCCGCTGTCTAGGCGCCTGCAGACGGCGAGCGTCCTACTGTTCATCCTGCTGTTTCTGGTCGGCCACGTGTCCTCGTGGTTCGCCCTAGTGCTGTTCGCGCTGAATCCGTTCTTCACGCCGTTCGTGATCCTCTACCTGTTCTGGGTGTTCCACTGGGACAAACAAACTCCGTTCAACGGCGGCCGTCCGTTCCGCTTCATGCGCCGGCTGGCCGTGTGGCGCTACTTCCGCGACTACTTCCCGATCGCGCTGCGCAGCGACAACGACAATGGCCTTGATGCCAGCGTGCCGTACGTGTTCGGCTGCCATCCGCACGGCGTGGGCAGCGCGGGCGCTGTGTGCAACTTCACCACGGACGTGACCGGCTTCGACCGCCTGTTCCCGGGCGTGGATGTGCGCCTGATGACGCTCGACGTCCAGTTCGACATGCCCATCTGGCGCGACCTGCTCATGGCGCAGGGCCTGTGCTCCGTGTCCAAGCACAGCTGCCTGCACTGCCTGGAACACGGCACGTCCATTGCGATCGTCGTGGGCGGTGCGGCAGAGGCGTTGGATGCGCGGCCCGGCTGTGCCGATCTGACGCTGGCATCGCGGCGGGGTTTCGTCAAGCTGGCGATGATGTCCGGGTAAGTGGTTGCTTCTGGCTGGCACCTCCGGGTTGTGTTCGGAAGTAGCTAGACGCTCTTGCGATGGACGTACACAAAGTGTGTTCGATGTGTGTGTGTATGTGTGTGTGTTTGGGGGGGGGGGGGGGGGGGGTATCATCTTCATCACACCATGGAATCCCATCTGCGCTTTGACGTGGAGAATCCTGGAATTTTCATTTAGGAAACCTGCGAGACCCCTGTGTGCATGCGTCTGTGTGTGTGTGCCTGTGTGTGTCTGTGTGCGCGCGCGTGTGCTTGCGTGCATGTCTGTGTGTGTGTGTGGGGGGGGGGGGTGCGTGTGGGTGCGTGCGTGCGTGTATCTACCTCTTGTCTGCACAGAGCCTCTCTGGTGCCAACGTTCTCGTTCGGCGAGAATGATATCTATAATCAGGTTCCCAATCCGCCCGGCTCCAGGCTGAGAGAGTTGCAGAAGCGCTTCACTAAGACGATGGGCTTCTCACCACCGCTTTTCCACGGCCGAGGCATCTTCAACTACACATTCGGTCTGATGCCGCACAGACGACCGGTCACGACTATCGGTAAGCTATTGTGTTTTAAACTGTGTTTTTTTGCCAGACGTATAGTGTCATTGGATACGTCTTGCTTGTGTCCGAGTGAACTCCGAGGCGAGTCCAGACTGGGAGCTGGGCCAGAGACCTTGCTTCATTTCGCAACTGTTATGTTCGGCCTGCCAGTCACGCAGGAGTCCATTGCGGGACAGGACAAGGACTGATTTTATTTCGAACGAGCATGCGCATACAATACAGGTGTGTGTGTGTGTGTGTGTGTGAGAGAGAGAGAGAGAGAGAGATAGAGAGAAAACGACGACAATCGCTATGCATTACAGAAACCAGGCTTGTTTCGACGTCAATCTGCTTGGCTCCAGTCGGGCACTTTGGCCAGGTTCCATTTTTTTCATCTGCGGCCCGCTGTGCAAGGATGCACGCTAATCTTTGCACGGCGTAACCGTACATTTATTATGCAAATCACGTAGAAGTTACTTTGGTGGGTGTCATCTCCTCACCTCCCACCGCTTTAGGAGCTGCATGTGCGCCTTGATCCTTGAACGGTGGCGGCGTTCCTACGGATGCGTCGGCCTCTAGCCGAGTGTGACGCGAACCGTGAATTTTTTGTAGAAGTTCTGTATCCCGCCAGCCTGAGTCATCGGCTATTCGGGCACTTGGGTAAGAGCATCAGGCTCAGCCGGGATATCAAGGTCACGGAGCCTCGATTCTATCTGCTGCACTAGCAGAACTAAAAATGATAGTTCGAAGTAGGTGATATGCCAAGTTACGTGCACCAAACCTTGGAAGGGCGTTGCAGAGGAGTTGCTGACAAAGTTCAAAGTTGTACGGTTACCTGTGACTTGTGCTCCTCGAGAGCTCAAGTCTTACCATTTACACATTGTAGTGTAATTTTTGTGTGCAATTGGTGTCCAATTCCCTCCCAAGTCTAGTTGCACAATATGCGGTATATCATCAATTCAGCGGTCGCATGCGAAAAGGACTGCAAAAAGGACTGTCGGTTGCATGACCTAAAGCAAAGACAAGTAACTCGACTCTCTCTCTCTCTCTCTCTCTCTCTCTCTCTCTCTCTCTCTCTCTCTCTCGCCAAAATTCTTGCGAAATGTTGGTCCTCAAATTCCTCTCTATCCTTCTGTCTTTATCTCCGTCTCTCTATCCCCCCCCCCCCCTCTCTATAAAGCTGTGTTCGCAACTGGCACGTGTATGCGTGAAACCACGCGTTTGTGCGTATTTTTGTTGGCTTTTGGGGCGCCACGCGCCGAAATGGAAAAACGCGTACCAGCGTACATGGTGGGATCAAAACATTAGTACTCGAAGGTGTCGCACGTGCTAAATACGACTCGGATTGCTGTTTTTGTGAAAGCTTGAGCGCGGGTTTGGGCACGCATGAACCGCAAGCGTACCGCGTCCACGCGCCAGTTGTGAACACAGCTTAACTCTCTCTCTTTCTCTCTGTCTCTGTCTGTCTCTCTCTCTCTCTCTCTCTCTCTCTCTCTCTCTCTCTCTCTCTCTCTCTCTCTCTCTCTCTCTCTCTCTCTCTCTCTCTCTCTGTCTCTCTCTGTCTCTCTCTGTCTCTCTCTCACACTCTCTCACTCTCTCTCTCTCTCTCTCTCTCTCTCTCTCTCTCTCTCTCTCTCTCTCTCTCTCTCTCTCTCTCTCTCTCTGTCTCTCTCTCTGTCTCTCTGTCTCTCTCTCTCTCTGTCTCTCTCTCTCTCTCTCTCTCTCTCTCTCTCTCTCTCTCTCTCTCTCTCTCTCTCTCTCTCTCTCTCTCCCTCTCTCTCTCTCTCTCTCTCTCTCTCTCTCTCTCTCTCTCTCTCTCTCTCTCTCTCTCTCTCTCTCTCTCTCTCTCTCTCTCAAGAGAGATTTTGCAGACCATTCGTTCCTGCCAATTTAGTTTGATGTCACGAAATGCGAAACTTTGCCCGAACGTTCGAAGCTTTGAACGCAAAAGTTGAACAAAACGTGAAGAAGTTTCGCTGATTGTGGACTGGTGGTGAAGCTCGCTCGTGCAGTGTTTTGTCTTCTTTTGCAATCCGGTAGATCTACCCTTCGCTTGATCTTCTAGTGCTAGTTTTTGGATATGGAAACTCGTGTTGCTTCATATCCGGAGCCATCACCGATCTACTGCCTGCTGAGCTCCTCGCAGCTGGCTATAGCACTCCAGCAGCCAGAGAGTTGATCTCCAGCTGACTATCATTTCCAGTGCATACACATTTTTTTCTCTTTTTTTCTTCCCTCTTCGCTACCTTGTCATTGGAAAGAAATTCCCGTTTGGATTTTCCGAAGTAAAGCAAAGTAAAATAAAGAAACACACGGCGAGGAGACAATAATTTGATAACCGCAATCAATACAACTAGCTGAACCGACATTTGTGTACTTTATTCATGCAATGTAAAAACGGTGGAGACGATAAAATAAAAAAGAGATTTTTTTTGATTTGCAGATGGACATGGTTTTGATGCGCCACATTACGGCACAGGACAACCAGTTTGTCCATGAGTCTACGGCCATGGAAAGAAGTATTCAAAGAGCGCTCATCACAGGGTGCCGTTACTCGCAACAAATAAATTTCTTTGTTTTGATCAAGACCACTTGCTTCTTAGGAGCAAAACTCCTGCGAAAAAGAAACTGTGCAGGAACATTGCAGAACTTTGTGCAAGCCCAGACGCCAAAATTCTTGTGAAATTTTGCTCCTCAAATTCCTATCCTTCTGTCTTTATCTCAGTCTCTTCCCCCCCCCCCCCTTCTTTCTCTCTCTCTCCCTCCCTCTGTCTGTCTCTCTCTCTCTCTCTCTCTCTCTCTCTCTCTCTCTCTCTCTCTCTCTCTCTCTCTCTCTCTCTCTCTCTCTCTCTCTCTCTCTCTCTTTCTTTCTCTCTCTCTCTCTCTCTCTCTCTCTCTCTCTCTCTCTCTCTCTCATTCACCTACACATTCTCCTATACCCCATACTTAGTTTTTTTTCTGTAGCTCTTCTTGGATAGCACGTTTATATAGTGTACTGCTTATCAGTCTGCGGTGTTTTCTGCTCTATGCTCTGTGTTGCTACTAGTTGGCAAGCCCATCGCAGTGGAGAAGGCTGCCGATCCAGAGCACCTGGACAGAGAAGAAGTCGACCGCATCTGGAACCAGTACGTGGACGGGCTGAGGGAGCTGTTTGACGCTCACAAGACGGAGTTTGGCTTTTCCGAGAGCGACACGCTGAACATTTCATAATCACGAGGTGACGCGATGCAGCACACCTGGGTTGCACTCTCACTACGCAATGCCGCATTCAAAACCGACCGATAAACACTGGCCCGCATGCCTTCCTCTCTATGGACACCAGTGGTGCGTACTAGCTTTACGTGCTTGCTAGCGCACGTATTGCTGCGCTTTGAGAATTCTTTCTATCCAGTCCACATCTTTATCTGCCTGTGTCATACGTGTCACCACTTCCGCTACATCTATCACCAATGAATCACGACTCTATAAGCATGCCCGTGTGCATTTTAGAACTGTTATAAGTGCGATAAAGAATATAATTGATGCAGACATGGACAGACACCAACGACTAAAAATAATTTAAAAGAGTTTTATCATCCAAAATCGATTTCCGAAATTCTTGAAAATATGAAAACATCCAGTACTAGATTTTACTATCGCCAGCTGCGTTCATATCATTATCTGTAGTCTTTTTCACCTGTTGATATCTTTCTATTTTCGAAGGCAACCTTACGGCCATACAAACACACGCGGACACACATTTTCTCGTGTGTGTCAATGCCGGTCTTTCTTCCTGTCTCTTTCTGGCTCTCTCTCTCTCTCTCTCTCTCTCTCTCTCTCTCTCTCTCTCACACACACACACACACACACACACACACACTCTCTCACTCTCTTCGTAAATTTATGACACTGTGTCTCTCCGTACTCGCCCCGTTGTTATTAGATATAATAATTTGACCGGTTTAGTCAGCGAATCAAAATAAAATCAACAACAACAGTACACGGTATTTACTGAGGATTACCGAGGCGGCCTGAAACTCTGAGCTGTGACGGTGTCCCATATGCAACCTTCATTGCAATACCCTATACCGTAAAGTCCTTTATGACTTCTATTACTTTCTTGGTGAAATTTCGCAGGCTTCT